AAAACCCTGGAAGCTGCTGTCTTGCTGGCGGTGAGTGCTGACGGCCACTGGTTGGCCGTTGCTACTGGAGGCGGGACGGTCACCATCTACAACCTGAAAAAAGCCAAGGTGAGCGCAGCCCTCCCATGGCGGTGGCGGCAGCAGGACCCTGCTTGTTGTGTGGACAGCCTTGTTAGCCGGCGTCTGCTCCGGAGCCCTGCGAGGCCATTTGCCGGGGGTGCGACGGAAGCCGGAGGGAGGGAGCCGGCCCGGCTCAGGCTGGCCAGTTCGTTCTCTGCCCTTGACACCGCCTCTCTCTGCCTGTCCAGCCTCACTGCGTCGTGCCTGCCTACGACTGCCCGGTGACGGCCCTGGCCATTCATCCGGTGACCAACCGCCTTGTCATGGCCTATTCGGACCAGCAGGTGAGGCTCCTCCTGGGTCACCGTGTGCCGGAGGGGAGGTTCTGTGCAGGCCCCACCCTCGCAGAGACCCCTTGCTGCCCTTCTGAGCTGCCCCCGTTGCCCAAGAGGGGAGGGCTGGTTGGGAAGTTAGTACTATGGGCCCTGCGTGGTCCTTTGAGTCCCAGGTGCGGGGCTGAATCTTTCCCTTTGGCGTGGTCCCCACCTTTCATTTAACAACGAGCCGTAGCTCCTGTGTTCCACACCAGCACGGGATGGTTCGTCCGGAGCGATTCCCGCTTCTGCCTTAGTCACAAAGGTCTCTCTGGCACAGTCGGCTTCTGCCGTGCGGCTGAGCAGAGCCCCTTCCCTCTTTTCCAGGTGCTGGAGTTCAGCATCCCGGACAAAGCGTACACGCCCTGGAGCCGCAAGGTGCAGCAGCAGGGGCTCCACCGCGACTGGATGGAGCGGGACACGCCCATCACTCACATCGCCTTCCACCCCCAGCAGGCCGACCAGGTGCTGCTGCATGACGTGCACATGTTCTGCCTCCTGGACCAGTCCCTGGTGAGTCGGGGGGGGGGGGCGGGGGCAGACCCTGCTCTGCTCTAGGCAGCGTCCACCAGGCTCCTGACCGGGGCGGGATGGGGTGGGGGCCAGGCCCTTCCCGCCCCAACCGTGTCCCATGCCAGACTTTCAAGGGAAAGTACGACAAGAGAGTGTTGGCTGTGATCGTGTAGCGGCCGTGACAAGAGAGTGTGTGATGCTTGCTTGGAGGGGAAAAAGGGATGCTCAGAGACGCAGAGTTCTCCGCACTTTGGGAGGGGCTGTGGCTTAATGGTGGAGTATCCACTTGGCGTGGCAAAGGTCCCAGGTTCAATCCCGGGCACTTCCAGTCAAAAGGGTCTGGCAGGAGGTGACGTGGAAGACCTTTCTCTGCCTGAGGTCCTGTAGAGCTGCTGCCAGTCTTGAGGAGACTGCACTGATCTCGACAGACCTATGGTCTGACTTCAGCGCGAGGCGGCTTCACGGGTTGTAACTGCTGGGAAATGTCTCCCTCCAGCCCCTGCCGGAGGACACAGCCGTTCTGTGCAACCAGCCCTCCCTGAAGCAGCTGTCCGAGACGGCCCGGCACAGCAGTGCCCACGCCTTCAAGATCTGCAAGAAGTATCAGGTGAGCACCTCTGCCTGGCGGGGAGGGTGTGGAATCTCGGTGGGCCCCGGGGGAACCTGAGCGGGCGCCTCGGGCGGGCCCAGGACCACCGGCAGCCTGGCTTATGTCTCGGCATGGTGGCGCTGCCAGCCTCCCTGGGGAGTGGGCGTTAGCCCAGCCTCCGCAGCCAGAGGGCCACGGTCGGCTTCTGGCCCGCTCCTTTCTGAACTGGGCCTCTCGCTCCCTCCCTGCAGCCTCTCTTGTTTGTGGACCTGCTGGATGAGAAGTCCTTGGTGGTGGTGGAGCGGCCTGTGATGGACATCAAGGCACAGCTGCCCCCGCCCGTCTACCGGAAGAAGTTTGGGACGTAAAGGAGCCTCCTGGCCACGGCCGTGTGGGGTGTGAGGGACAGTCTCTCCTGCAGAACGGCAGGCGAGCTCTGCCCCCTTGGTCTTCCTGGCTGCGGGAGGCCAGGGCAGCCGTTTCCTGGGCGGGCTGAAATCCAAAGCAGGTGGGGCGGGCTGCCTGCCCTTGGAGCCTGCCTGCGTCCAGCTCCCCGGCCCCTTCCCCTCAACTCCGTTTGCTTCCTTCCCCTGACGATTCTCAGACGCGGGAGACGTGTGTATGACCACACAATCACGACTGGGAAGAAAACTTCATGCTGTCCGGTACTCACAGTGGCCCAAGCCTTGGCTGCCTCCCTTTTGTGTCAGGATGGTCGGTGGTCTCTAGAGGGCCAGGTCCCTTGGGTGAAGATCGCAGGGGCTGGCTGTCTCGGGCAAGATCTGATTCTTTGGAGTGCCCCGGAGCGACCTGCGGCCAGTGGGGGAGTTGTGTGCTGAGATCCCAGCCAGCTCCCAAATGCTGCCTTCCAATGCCCCCACGAGGTAAGGGGCCACCCCTCACCTTAAGCCGTTTGCCTCTGTTCTTCTGGAAGTGGTGCTCCTATGGCAGAGGTTTCAGGACTCCTACGGCATGAGAATTCTGCAACTTTGAAAAACAAAACGCCACCTGCTGCTGGGGTGGGGGGTGGGGTAGGAAGAGAAACGCACAAAGGAGCTTGAGCAATTGCCTGCCGGCACTGTTGTGGATGGCTAAAATGATCGAGATGGAGATCCAAGTGGGACGACTGGGCTGAATCCCCAACACGCTCTGCCTCCCACCCAGCTGTGGCCTCTCGCCCATCTGGGTCTCTCATGGACGGCATCCCAAACTCAGTGACGTTGTTTGTGGCACAGACTGTTCATTTTTGGCTGGTTTTAAAATGGATTTCTACGGCTGTCGTGAAAGTAAAGTGTCAGTTCTCTTAAGGTCTTGCATTTTTTGAGCCCTGAATTTAAGAATGTAACGTTTTATAAATTAAAATATGTGAAGTCATTTGACAGAATCGCGAAAGGTCAAAAGGGGGGGGGGAGTGTTGCTGTTGGCTAATTTTAGGTGCTTTTGTTTAATGACAGACAGATTGTCATGGTTGTTAGCCCTGTTAGCACATTTTACTGTAAGGGCGTTCGCTTCCAGCTTGCCTGGTGCCCTGGAGGCGTGGGAACAGCCTCTTTGTGCTCAGCGTAAACGGAATGCACTTGAGGTATGCCCAGATATCCCTCCTAGACCAGGCCGAGGCACCTTAGAGCCCCATAAGAGGAGAAGAAAAGAGATTGGATTTATTCCCCTTGACTTTCACTTGGAGTCTCAGAGTGGCTTACAATCTCCTTTCCCTTCCCCTCCCCTCCCCGCAACAGACACCCTGGCTGTGAGGTCGGTGGGGCTGAGAGAGCTCTTGACAGAAATGGCTCTTTTTTCAAGAACAGCTCTTGTCAGAACTATGGCTTGCCCAAGGTCATCCAGCAGGTGCAAGTGGAGGAGTGGGGAATCGAGCCCGGTCCGCGCACTTCACCACTACACCAGACTGACTCCCTTCCCTGAAAATCTAGGCCTGGATCCTGGCACTGAACGCCTGTTTCTGGGCTTGTGGGCAGGCTCCGGTGGAGGCTCCGGCTGAGTCCACAGCCTTGTCTTCTGGTCAAGTAGCTACTTCTCGCCGGTTTCCCTGGGTCACGCGAGAAGCGGGAAGGGCCGGCGGCTCTTCTCCGAGCAGCTGAGTGTTACGCTCTGTTGCCTCCCTTTGCATAAGGAAGGTGTCCTCAGGAGGCTGGGGTCATCGCCACTTACATCTGCCACTCACGTTAAAAATAGCAGTCCTCTGCCCGGGGATCAGCCACAAAGCCCTGCCGGCACACAGGCCGTTGTGGCCCTCAGAGCAGGCGAGGGCTCGGCTCCCTTTCTGGGCAGCCCAGCTGGTATGGAACACGCGGGCCCAAGGCTGGGCCCAGTCCTGCAGGAAATCCTCCCCTGCTGTGTGAGGCAGCGGCTGCTTGTTCTTCCAGCAAAGGAAAGAAGCGAGTTGGAGACAGGGAGGGAAATGCAGCTGGGCAAGAGACTTGTGCTTTGGTGAACTGGCTCCCTCCTCGTCAGGAGCCAGGTTAATTTTACACCTGGACTTATTCCCCCGTCCGGCAGCACAGCAACTGAAGCCCAGGGCCCTCCGTCTGGTCGCATCCATTGTGGGACCCTTTCCTGGCAGGTGTTGTTTTCTTTTTAGACCAGCAGTCCTATCACTCTGCAAGGCCCGTTTTAGCACTGCTCTTTGGCCAGGGTCGGCTTTACGTTAGGGCTGCAGATCGTGAAATGCCGGCACTGTGTTCAGTGGCCCGTGAGCACCCACCCGTCTGGCCAAGCCCTGCTGGGTGGTGCCCGCTGGGGTTCTGTTTCTGAAAGATGGCACTGCTATGCCCTGTGGGCCCCATTGTTCCCTCTAAGCTGAGTTAGTGTGAGCTAGCTCACAGTTTTTTAGCCTCCAGCTCACACATTTTTTTCTTGGCTCAGGAAGGATGGCTCCAGAGCAAACTAATTCATGCAGCAGCCAAACCGCTGGCTCACAACTTTCATGCCAGTAGCTTCCACAGTAGAGTTTCTGCTCACAAGACTCCACAGCGGAGAGGGAGCATTGCCTGCGGCCCCAGGAGGTCATCCAGTTGCCCTGGGTGTGTGTGTGTGTGAGAGAGAGAGAGAGAGAGAACAGCCTGCCTGGGCCTCCAGGCACAAGGCTCGTGCCCCTGGGGAGGGGTACCCAACAGGGGGACGTACTAAAACTAAGGCCAGCGATTGCCCATACATGAGTGCCCATAGAGAATAATGGAGAGTAGGCTTGCCCAGAGGGGATAGTGCAGTATGTAATTGCCAATAGAGAATCCAAAATTGCCAATAGAGAGTCCATGACTGCCCATAGGGAATAATGGAGAGGACGCTTGCCCATAGGGGATAATGGGAGTACATAATTGCCAACAGAGAATCCATGATTGCCCAAAGGCAATATTGCCCAGAGGTCATTCCGGCTCCCCCAGCTCTCGTTAAAAAAGATAAAGCCAGCCGAATCCGAGTCTAGGGTTGCAGTGCTCATCTCCGGCATGACTAAACACCAAGGCGCACGGAACGCTGTTCCCTTCCCACCGAAGTGGTCCCTATTTATCTACTTGCAATTTCTTGCTTTCGAACTGCTCAGTTGGCAGGAGCTGGAACTAGAGACGGGAGCTCACTTCGTCATACGGCACACTCGGGTCTCGAACTGCTGAACTACCGACCTTCCACAGCCTGCAGTTCAGCGTCTTAACCCCTTGAGCCACCGCAGCTCCACCAGCTCTCGTTAGGGGCTCTTTAAAAAGTTATGGCCGCTGCCGCCGTTCTTCGGCGGCAGCTGCAATGGACCCGGGGGGACGGGACGTTCTTTTGCCTCCCGGAGCCCCCCGGGGTGGTGGCCTTGGGACTCCTAGGGGCGGGCCAAA